AGGCGAGCGCCGGTGTCTGCCCGAAGGCCGAGGCAGCTGCGCCCTCGCCGGGCCCGCGCACGTGCTCGCCTTCGATGGCCGCGTGCTCACGCTGCCCCCGCCGGCGCCCTCCCCTTCTGAGCGCTGCCTGCACGTGCTGGCCCGCACTGCAAGCCAGGGGCCCTGTGCCTTCAGCCTAGACGTGGCCCGCGACGGGGCCGGGCTGCTCAGCCTGCACCTCAACCTCTCCGAGCACCACCTGCAGCTAGACCGCACCCTTGTCGGCGTCATCACGGTATGCGTCCACTGGGCTGCGCCCACGCCCCGCCCTCTCCCTCCTGGAAGCGCCTCAGTTTCCCCCACCGTGTATAAAAAAAAAAAGGCATCTCTGTCCCTCAAGGCTTACGAGATGGTGCAAGTATGTGACAAGGTAGAAAAGCATTGCCTGGAACACAGTAATGGCTCATTAAAGCATAGCTGTTATGTATACATTATCACCTCCTACCCGGGATTGGAGAAAATCAATCATTCAGGATTATTTCAGTAAATTGTATGGAGAGTCTCCCTGTGGTCCAGGAAAGCCCTGGAGGATTTGATGGGGAGCAAGTCCTGGGAGAGCTCACATACCTCCAGGGAAACAGATGATAAGTAAATAAATAAGTAAAATAAGTAGTACATCTGATGATGGGTATAAGAACTATGAAGAAAAATAAAACAAGGAAGAGAGAGAGTGTAAGAACAGAGTAAAGAGGTTTAGCATTTATTTTTTTTTTTAAGATTTTATTTATTCATTTGAGACACAGATAGAGAAAGCACGAGCAGGGGGCAGAGGGAGAGGGAGAAGCAGGCTCCCCGCTGAGCCAGGAGCCCAATGTGGGGCTCGATCCCAGGACCCTGGGATCATGACCTGAGCCGAAGGCAGACGCTTAACCATCTGAGCCACCCAGGCGCCCCGAGGTTTAGCATTTAAATAAGGTGATGAGGAAGACCCCACTGAGAAAGTAACATTTGAGTCAAGATCTGAAGGAGGTGAGGGAGGGGTCCATGTGGACATCTGGGAAGGGGCAAATCAGGCAGAGGGAACGCAAAGTGCAAAGTTCAGGGAAATGGCGTGGAAGCAGGCTCAGCCTTCACAGCCCCAGTCCTGACCCCTTTCCTCCTCCACAGGTGGATGGTGAGCACTGCCGGCTGCCCTGGGTATTGGCAGAGGGCAGGGCCTGGGCCACGTTGGAGGGCCGCCATGTGGTGGTATACACGGCCTGTGGGCTACATCTCATGTATGACTGGGGCAGCCAGGTGCGCCTAACTGTGCCTTCCACCTTCCATGGCCAGCTGGTGGGGATCTGTGGGGCCTTTGGTGGCAAAGTTGGCCCCCTTGACCTGCCTCTAGACAAAAGATCCTGGCCCAAAGGCCTGGTCACTAACCCCTGCCTGCTGCCCCAGCCCAATCTTGACTTTAGCATCAGCTGCCCCACGCAACTTGCCCAGATCATCAATGCTTCTGAACTGTGTAGACTTCTACAGGCACCAGATGGTCCCTTTGGCCGCTGCCTGGGCCATATCAGCCCCAAGCCTTTCCTCAGGATATGCCTGCAAGACATATGTCATACCCATGGCCAGCATCTTGGTCTCTGTGATGCCCTCACCGCCTTTACTGCAGCCTGTCAGGAAGCTGGCATCCCTGTGAAGCTCTGGAGGGGCCCCAGGCTTTGCCGTGAGTGCTCTGGCTGGGTCTGGAATGTATCTGGGGCAGGTTGCAGGCAGCAGGAAGAGCCCCTCCTGATGGGGATCAGAGACGCCCAGACATAGATGGAATTGGCTAAGTAGAGTGTAGGGGGGGAGGGCATCCAAGGGAAAGAGAACTGTAATTGCAAAGGTGTGAAGGTTGGAAAATATCAATGGGAAGCTAGCCTGACCAGAGCAGGAGGCAACAGGATTGGAGAGGGAAACTTGCATCCTAAGCACGGGCCTTTGCCATCCACCTGCAGCCATGGCTTGTCCACCCCGAAGCCGCTACAGCATCTGCGCACGGACCTGTGATGGGGGCTGTGTCCAGCCTACCAGCCCTGCACACTGTTCTACCCAATGCTATGAGGGCTGCCAGTGTGACCCTGGACTCATTTTTGATGGCACAGACTGTGTGTCTCAGGACCACTGCGGCTGCTTTCACAGTGGACGCTACATCCCTGTAAGAGAGGTCCCTAGGCATGGGCGGGTGGGTGCAGAGTTTCCCATATCTCGTCATAAGATGTTCCCTGGACCACACTGTATCAGTCAGCATTTGCAGTTGTAAATAACAGAAAATGATGCCAAGTATCTTAAATACAACAAGGATGTATCTACCTTTAATTGTTTAAATTTGAGGCCTTCAGGCATGGCTGGATTCAGGGCCTCAAATGATGTCACTAGGACTCAAGTTTCTTTCTGTCTTTCATTCCTGCCTTTTCCTTTTTCTATGTTGGCTTCTATATGAAGTAGGCTCTAGGTCCAAGTACTACAACAGAGGCTCAAAATTGCAGTGACTTAAACTCGATAGCAGCTTATTTCTCTCTCATGAACAGTCCAAGAATAACCAGTTTCGTTCCTTCAAGTCAGGGACACAAACTCCTTCTATCATGTGGTTCTGCCTCCCCTGTAGTATTGCAATCATCTGCTCCCGACCACATCTACATTCATGCAAGTTGGCCAGGAAAAAAGAGGGGACAGGGAGGTCAGGCCTCCTCTCTTTGAGGGCATAACCCAGAAGTAGGACATACCACTTCTGTTCACATCCCATTGGCCAGAACTTCACAGAAGGGCCCCATCTGGCTGCAGAGGAGGCTGGAAGACATCTTGCGCTGGGTGGTCCTGAATGCAGCTATAAATACTAATTCTGGGGAAGAAATGGAGAATGGATATTTGAAGACATGCCTGGCCTCATTCTCCAACCGCACCTGTATGTAGGGCACGGCTGTCTCCTCCTGCTCCAAGCGTATGATGTACATTTAGCCATCTCAGTGGAGAGACAGGCTTCTCTCTCAATAGTTACAGCAGAAGTCCCAGTGCTGACTCCTCTTATCTCAGTGTAGGTCATTTGCCTATCCCTAAGCCAGTCACAGAAGCCGGGAGATGGGGTACTCTGATTTGTCTCTGACTGGCCAGGCCTGGGGCATGTGCCTAGAGCTGAAGCCAGAGAGTAGGTATACCACCTAGGAGACCCCACAGACTGAGAGTGGGGCCAGTTCCCCAAAGAAAGTGGAAGGCTGTTTCCAAAAGACCGTGGATGGACCCTCAGCAGGCAAAGTGCTCCCTTCAAGGTTTTGCAGCTCTTGGGAGTCCATTCAGAAATAAAGAAAGGACCCCCAGGACGGCTGACATAGTTGTCTTAGAGATTAGGGCCATTGGATAGGAAAAAACATGAATGTTTAAACCCCAGACCACCCTGGAAATGAAGAGATGCCCACACCGGGAGGAACAGGGCATAAGAGCTGATACCTCAGCCATTGCTTGTCCACTCCACACCAGCACTGACGCTAGCCCCACATCAGAATTTGCAGAGAGCTCTTAAGGCTTTTCACACCCCAATGAAAAGCAGGAGGGTTGTCCGGGATTAAAAGAGACTAAAAGACCACAATAGTCAAATGCAGTATGCAAAGCTTGATTAGATCCTAATTCAAAAAATATCGTTTATAGATATTTGGAGAGACAACTGGAGAAACTCATCAAACTTTTTTATTTTTGCCCATCTCATAGAGAAAAAAAATAGCTCAATGGATTTTTAACTTGTATTTGTCTTATTAGGAGGTTGAGCATTTTTTCAAATGCCTAAGAAACATTTGTATTTCCTTTTCTATTAACTTTCTCAATAGCCTCTGCCCATGTTTTTATGCTGACTCATTGGTCTTTTTTTGATTTCTAGGAACTCTTTATATATGAGGGAATTTAGTCCTTCATGATACATGTTTTACACATACGCTTTGTTGATATTCATAATGGTTTTTTTAATCCAATTTTGAGTCTGTCTGTCTCTGCAGGTTGGGGAGGCACTGGTCCTACCTGGCTGCCAGGAACGCTGTATGTGCTTGCATGGTCAAGGCCTCCAGTGCCAGCCCTTTTCCTGCCCACAGGGCACAGGCTGCATCCTGGATGGGGGTGTGCGGTGCTGTGAGGCTGGGGAGGGTGCTACATGCCGCCTAGAGCCAGGGGGCCTCTTCATCACCTTTGATGGCTTCAGTGGGCTCACACCCATGCCTGTTACGTCCTGTGCCTATGAGCTAGCCACATTGGTGGGTTCCAGGCCTGAGGATCCTGACTGGTTTCATGTCATTGTTGACTTCCTGCCCTGTCCTGGCTGCACTGCTCACAAACCACGAGTGATCATCGGCTTCAGGGATGGCTGTGCAGCTGTGGGAACCAATCAGGAAATATGGGTAAGGGACTTCCTCAATTCTAGCCAAGACTCTTTCATAACCTGGAACTGATCCCTGGGGCCTTTTGATCCCTCATTGGCCTTCCGTAGCCTTCTAACATAGGACTGTCCCATCACCCTGATCGCACATTGACCTTCATTGGCTAAATGTCCTTGTCCTGATGTCCCATGACCCATTAGACCCCACATAAACTACACCTTGGACTTCTCAGGACCCACTGACTCCACCTTGACTCAGGTCCTGCTGAACTCCTGGGAACTACTGACTGAGTGATCAGAGCTCTAATGGGGAGCCCAGGCAGAGTGATCAGGGCTGGAATGGGGAAACAGTGGAAGCCCAGAGGAGGTACCCTCAGTTTAGGAGACCAGTGAAGACTTTCTGGAGAAGGTGACAGATGAGCTGGGACCTGATCTTGGGCTGGGGAAGAGAGCAGGGAGGAGTGTTGCCGAACAAGGCCAGGGAAAAGGAGGGACCATATTTGGGGAATAGTGGCAAAAATCAACTATTGAGTTTAAAATAGCCCAGTAAATGTCTGTGGACTTAGGGCCAAGGAGGTTGTTAGCGACTTAAGAAATCACAGCAGGGAGGGTGCCTGGGTGGCTCAGTCGGTTAAGCTGCTGCCTTTGGCTCAGGTCATGATCCCGGGGTCCTGGGATCGAGTTCCGTGTCGGGCTCCCTGCTCAGCGTGGAGTCTGCTTCTCCCTCTGCCGCTCACCCAGCTCGTGCTTGCTTGCTGTCTCAAATAAATAAAATATTTTAATAATAAAAAAAGAAATCACAGTAGGGGGATGCCTGGGTAGCTCAGTCAGTTAAGCATCTGCCTTCGGCTCAGGTCATGATCCCAGGGTCCTGGGATCGAGTCCCACATCAGGCTCCCGGGGAGCCTGCTTCTCCCTCAATCTCTGCCTCTCTCTCTGTCTCTTATGAATAAATAAATAAAATCTTAAAAAAAAAAAAAAAGGAATCACAACAGGGGGGCAGCTCCTGGATTGCAGGTTTGAGGACTAGCAGGAATAGACACCTCTCTTGACAAGTTGCAAACTCCCCTTGTCAAACAGACGAGAATAGAGCTAAGCCAGGAAGAGGCAGAGGGCAAGGGTATGTTAGAACTGATTTACAATTAGGATTTTATGATGGGAGACACTCAGGATGTTCACGTGCTGATGGGAAGACGCCAGACAAAGAGAGGTTGGAAATCCAGCAGAGAGAGATGCCAGGGTAGAGGGCACCTGCCTCTCCTAAGGAACATGGAAGCAGGGGAGCAGCAGAATTGGAATCTGGGCAGGCAGACTGGATAGTATTTATAAGAGGAAAACAAGCCTGAAACCCCATGCTGAGAAACAGAATACAGCTGTGCGGTGGAGACTAATTGTAAGAGTGGGTGGACGGTCCAGCAAGAGAACAGTTGGGGTATCTGCCACAAGCCGGCAGATAAGCTAAGCCAGAGCCTTTGGTTAAAGGGTCAAGAGACCCTGACTGTGTGTCTCCTAAACTTCTAATGTAACTATGGGCAAGTAAGTGACTCAACCTCTCTATACCTCAGTTTGCTCTACCACAAAAAGTGGTGGTAAGAATAGTACTCACTATCTAGGGTAGCTGTGAGGATTCCTGCAAAGTGTGTGGCATATACTAAGGGCTCAGTAAGTAGAAGCTGTAACTGCTCTTGGGGGCACCTGGCAGGCTCAGTCAGAAGAGCTTGAAACTCTTGATCTTGGGGTCATGAGTTTGAGCCCCATGTTGGGTGTAGAGATTACTTAAAAGTAAATAAACTTAAAAAAACTTTTTTTAAAGCTGTGATTGCTCTTGCAACCGCTTTTATGTTATTAATGGAGAGACAGTACATATAGCAGAATGGTTAAGAACACAGGTCCTGAAATCGGACCCCTTTGGTTCAAAACTGGCTCTGCCACTTACCAGCTATGTGAACCTGGGCAAGCTATGTTACTTCTCTGGGCCTCAGTTCCTTCCTTCTTTCTTTCTTTTCCCTTTCCCTTTCCCCCTTTCCCTTTCCCTCTCCCTCTTTCCCTTTCCCTCTTTCCCTTTCCCTTTCCTCCCCTCCCCTTCCCCCCCTCCCTCCCTTTCTTTCTTTCTGATTTTATTTATTTATTTGAGAGAGAGAGAGCATGAGAGGGGGGAGGGTCTGGGGGAGAAGCAGACTCCCTGCTGAGCAGTGAGCCTTGATCCTGGGACTCCAGGATCATGACCTGAGCCAAAGGCAGTCACTCAACCGAGTCACCCAGGCGCCCTCTGGGCCTGTTTCCTAATCAGTAAAAGGCAAGAGGCAGATAGGCCTACAGTACTGATCTACCTTGTCAGAGTGTTAGTGAGGATTTAATATCACTTAAATACTTTAATATCATTAATGACATAAAACAAGTTAGGTGACAATATATAAAAATATCAATTGCATCATATACTGCAATATACTGTCATACATTATCTTATAAATAACCAAATATTAGAGCACTTGGACTAGTGCCTGGCACAGAGTGTGTGTAAACAGTATTAGATTATGAAGACACAGGTGAGAGAGATGCGACAGGTTCCAAAGGCTTTTTGTTCTCTAAAGCTCCCTTTTAGGAAGGAGTTTATTATGGAAAATTTCAAGTATCACAAGAGAAGAGAGTGGTGTTACGAAACCCTGTTACAGTTACAAATATTTTGCCATTCTTGTTTTCATCTTTTCCTCCCACTCTTTTTGCTTTGTTCGTGCTGGAGGATTTTAAAGCAAATCCCAGACCTTATTCCTCTAGCGAAGACCTGCATATGCGTTTCTGATAGAGACACGCAGCAGGATTCACAGTGGCTTCTGAGCCCACGTTGGGATTCAAACCCTAATCTCCTCCCCGGCCCGCCTCCCCAATCTGCAGGTGAACGGACAACCCGCGCGGCTCCCCGCCCAAGTGTGCAGGGGCGTGGTCGCACGCTGGGCGGAGGGCTCCCGGGTTGTCATCGAGCGGTCCCCCACGCTGCGGGTGCTGGTGGGGCCCGAGGGGGCCGTGGCCTTACGGGCCTCCCCCGCGCTCCGAGGACGCCTCCGAGCAGCCTGCGGAGACTATAATGGAATTGCAGCCGACGACCTGATACTCCCAGGAGGACTCCAGGGTGCCAGCCTAACCGACGTGTTCCAGGCGTGCCGAGCTCGGGGCTTCAGCAACTGGTGAGGACCTTCCCTTCTCCTGCCGCGGTACTTGGCTCACATCGGCAGAGGGCGCGATCAACGCAACTCCCTGCGCCCCAGGCTGCCTTTGGGCACTTGGGAGCTCACACGCCGTCTCTGACGGTCTTCCCGCAGCACGGAGAAGCTTGTCATGCCAGCCGTGACACAACACTTCACCGCCTGACGCCGTCCCTCTGTGTGTCTCCATGGCTGGGACCTCCCGACGCACACCTGCCCTGGGGATGGGAACCCACGGACCTCCCCGAGATTGTTTTAATAAATAACTTCTGACCAAACCTGCTTGTGCCTCTATCTTCTTCCCAATGCCCCTGCGCCCCGGGAGACACAAAGGTCCCAACCTGGGGCGCCTGGGTGGCTCAGTCGTTGAGCGTCTGCCTTCAGCTCAGGTCGCGATCCCAGGGTCCTGGGATCGAGACCCGCATCGGGCTCCCTGCTCAGCGGGAGGCCTGCTTCTCCCTCTCCCACTCCCCCTGCTTGTGTTCCCTCTCTCGCCGTCTCTTTCTCTGTCAAATAAAAAAAATCTTAAAAAAAACAAAGGTCCCAACCTCTAGTTCCCCCATCTCCCAGGACCCCAAGAGTTAGGTCGGGATCCTGTCCCCTTCGGACCCAAAAATCTGAGTGGGAGCGCCTGGGCCCCCTCCTCCTCCGCGTTCCCAGACCCGCAGTAACCTCTCAAGGACACAGATTCCTTGTGGGGCAGGCCTCCTGTGAATCAGCAGCTCCGCCCCTGAGCCGCAACATTGTGACGTAACTGCATCGACAGTCAATGGGACAACAAAGCAGGAGGCGGAAGTTTTGGAGTGCGCGGGCCGGAAGTGTCCGTTGCCCTGCAGAGCCGCTTCTCCCAAAGGTGCCGCGGCGCCACTGTTCGTGGGGCATTGCCCGCGAGCGCCGGCGGCGCGGCTGCTACCATGAGCCGGCCCAGCCGGCTGCAGAGGCAAGTTTTGAGCTTGTACCGCGAGCTGCTGCGCGCCGGGCGCGGGAAGCCAGGCGCCGAGGCGCGGGTGCGGGCCGAGTTCCGGCAGCACGCCTGCTTGCCACGCTCCGACGTGCTGCGTATCGAGTACCTGTACCGCCGCGGGCGGCGCCAGCTGCAGCTGCTGCGCTCCGGCCACGCCACGGCCATGGGTGCCTTCGTGCGCCCGCGGGGTCCAGCCGAGGAGTCCAGCGGCGCGGGGGCTCCAGGGACCCAGCCTGACAATGGTGCTTGTCCGAGGAACCCCCTCGGCATCATGGAGTCACCAGAGCCCCCTCCCGATGGGCGATGACAGGCCGAGGAGCTCACCCGGTAGCACAGGGAACCGAGGGCCCGCCTGACTGCGTGGGGAAACCGGGGAACCCGCCTGATGGAGGGTGAGATGTCTTGAGAAGACATGTCCTGAGAAGACCAGCTGTCTGGATTGGGGGAATCGGAGAGCCCTCCAAGCGACGTGGAGTCCTAGAGATCCCTATGATGGATGCTGAGAGATGCCCGACCTTGCCCAATCCATGATGACGGGTCTACTCTCCCCATGAGGGTTTGGGGCGGCTTGGTTGCTGGCTGGCTGAACTGTGACCAGCTGAGAGCTATTGACCGGAAAGGTTGGGGAGCCAGGACGCCCGCCGTCGGACAGAAAGAAGAGACACCCTTCTCTTGACCCTGGGCTCCCCTCTCTTGTATTTAACTCTGAGAAGAGCAGACTTTTTGCAGAGAAGTTTGGGAAGATACCCTGATGGATGGTGAGAAGCCCCGAACCCCCCTTTGGAAAACTTTCTTCCCATTAGTTGCGGCATACTAGGACCTGGGAAGAAGGGGCTGGGTTATCTTACCCCATCTGATCAAGTAAAGACCCCTCAAGACCTATACTTGATAATTCTAAGGGGGAACCCTGACTCCTGCGCCCTTCTCCCAGGACTCTTGAACAAAAGGAATAAAATCGGGGATGTGATTACTTCCCTTTTGGTGGTCTTAAAGATTTCACATGTTTGGGGATTTTTGAAAGCACCCTCACACCAAGAAGTGACCCCCTGGGAGGGATAGAGAAGAGCTGTCTCTTCCATGCTGGAGTCCTCTAGACTAGCAGATTGGTTGAAGGCAGCCTAGTTCTTGCTCCTGGGCAGATCCTTGGGACCCACCCTGATTTGACCCCAAAGAAACCCTAGTTGACTCCTTCATAGAAGGTAGTGAGGTAGGAGAGAAAACGGTGGAGCTGAGGCGGCCTGGGTGGTAACCCCAAACATGGCTAAAGAGTCCAGCCTCAGCTACAAGCGAGGATTTTTGTCCGCAAGGCCCAGGCATACCTCCTCCTGTATTCCTGTGTTGATCTTCCCTAGACATTCTCTGGGGTACTGCATTTTGCAGCACTGAGTTCTGTTTGCGCCCACGTCGGTTACATAAGTGGAAAGCAGATGAATTCTTAGCAAATGCTGTTGGGAAGAGGAGGAGAGCCTTAGGAAAGGAACTCAGACTTCTGACCAAAGAGAGGATAGACAGAAGAGAAACATGACTCTGCTCTAATCCCCATGGGGGACACAGGTGCACAAAGAGTTATAAAGTGGAGTTGATATTTGAAGAATTATAAGGAGTTTCCCAGATGGTAGAGTTAGGCTTCTAAGCGGGAGGACCAGTGTGGAGAGATGCAGGATTCCAGCTGGGGCCTGGATTGCCCCAGAGCTCAGGCTGTGTGGCTTGCACACATGGCTTCTATTTCAGTTGTCTCGGCTTGCTCATCTCTCTTCAGCCTCAGTTTTGTTTTGTTTTGTTTTCATCAGGGTGTTTCTGTTTTGTTTTGTTTTTTTTAAGATTTTATTTATTTGACAGAGACAGACACAGCGAGAGAGGGAGCACAAGCAGGGGGAGTAGAAGAGGGAGAAGCAGGCTTCCCGCAGAGCAGGGAGCCCGATGCGGGGCTCGATCCCAGAACCCTGAGATCATGACCTGAGCCGAGGGCAGACGCTTAACGACTGAGCCACCCAGGCGCCCCAGGGTGTTTCTGTTAATCCTGGCCTGACTCCATCTCAATAAAAGCCAAAGTCTTGAAAGTGGCTAATGGCCCAGTAGCACTCACCTCTCCCTCTTGCTCGCTCCTGGCTCCAAGAATTTGAGTGCTAAGAAGCTCCAGGATGGGAGTTTCTGGCAGGGCTGTAGGCAGTGAGCAACTTCCCACTGGGGCTGGGTGACCTGGGTCAGGAGGGGAGACATTCCATCCAGGTATTACAGATGAATAGAGATTGTGTGGTAGAGAGAATGAGGGAGGGGAGTGCCTGATACGAGGGAGGAGGTTGTAGGTCATTGGTAATTAAGAGCATGGACTCGGGAACTGCAGTGCCTGGTTTCGGATCCTAACTCCAACATTTACTAATTATATGATCATGGGCCTGTGATTTAACCTCTTTGTTCCTCAATATCCTTATCTGTGAAATGGGCATCATAATAGGGTCTCCCTTATATGGCTGTTAGGATACAATGGATTAAATATGTGGTGTGGCACCAAATGGTGCCCCAACTCCATGACCCTCTTGCCTACTTGGGTCCACTTGGAACTGAAGAAGAGGGTTTCCAGGAGACAGCCAGCCTCCTGCCCTGAACAGCTGTCCCAAGGGGCCAAGCCAGTGACCAGGTGCGTGAGGTGATCTAGTGGGACCTTGGGGACGTCTGGGAAACTCAGAGTACCTGATGAGGAACCACTAGCCACACCAACAAGTTACACCACTCTTTTTTTTAAGATTTTATTTTTAAGTAATCTCTACACCCAACATGGGGCTCAAACTTACAACCCCAAAATCAAGAGTCACATGCTCTACCGACTGAGCCAGCCAGGTGCTCCATGTTACCACCACTCTTGCTCAGCTCCCTCCCTCAGACAGCATTGGACAATCCTGGATATGAATGATGTGGAGGAATGACTAGGATTTTCTTGACAGCATAAAAGTAGTGTGATTCGATTTTAAAGCAATCCTGATCTGGAGATGTTCCATGAATTGCGCATGAGTAAAAAGATATGATGTCTAGGATTGGCTTCAGAGTAATCTAGGGAGAGGGAAGTGGGTGCCTGGGAGGATTAAACAGGATTGGCTCTGAACTGATAATGACTGGAGCTGGTGATGAGTCCATGAAGACTTGTAATGCTGTCCCTTCTTTTGTACAAGTTCTCAAAGTATCCGAATTGAAGTTGGGAAAACAAAACAAACTCTGTTGGTCCCCAGCCTAACTCAGAAGTCCTCACTGTGGTCCACAAGGCCTCATCTGATCTGGCCCCATCACCTCTCTCACCTCACCTCCTTCTACTTTCTCCCTCTACCACTCATGCTCCAACTACATTGGCCTTCCCCCTTGCCAGGCACACTTCTACCTCCGGGGCCTTTGCACTTTTTCCCTCTACCTGGAACACTCTTCCTCCAGGTCTGCACTGTCCAATATAACAGGGAGCAACCTAAGATTTGACGATTTGAAATGTGATTGAGGGCCACCTGGCTGGCTCAGTTGGAAGATGCGACTCTTGATCTTGGGGTCATGAGTTCAAGCCCCATGTCTGGTGTAGAGATTACTTAAATAAACTTTTAAAAAATATGATTTGGGACTGAGGAATTAAAAACAATTTTATAAATGTTTTTTAAAGAGAGAGAGTGAGCGGGAGAGACGGGGAGAGAGAATCTGAAGCAGACTCTGCGCTGAGCACAGAGCCCAACCTGGGGTCGATCCCACAACCCCAAGATCATGACCTGAGCCAAAACCGAGAGGCGGGTGCTCAACTGACTGAGCCACCCAGGAGCCCCCAAAATTTTATAAATTTTAAGTAATTTAAAAATTTTTTAAAGATTTTATTTATTTATTTGACAGAGACACAGCGAGAGAGGGAACGCAAGCAGGGGGAGTGGGAGAGGGAGAAGCAGGCCTCCCGCTGAGCAGGGAGCCCGACGTGGGGCTCTATCCCAGGACCCTGGGATCACGACCGAAGGCAGACGCTTAACGACTGAGCCACCCAGGCGCCCCAGTAATTTAAATTTTAAAACAAGCAGCGTAAAATGTTTTTTTCCATTAAACACAACTTTGTTGTTTTGGTAGGATTACATTTCATTTTATCTGTTGAAAAGTGTCCTAATTGAGATGTGCTCTAAAGTATAAAATACACACCAGGGGTGCCTGGGTGGCTCAGTCGGTTAAGCGTCCAACTCATGGTTTCAGCTCAGGTCATGATCTCAGGGTCGTGAGATTGAGGCTGTGTCGGGCTCCATGCTCAGCATGGAGTCCACTTGAGATTCTCTCTCCCTCTCCCCCTGCCCCTCCCGCTCATAC